CTATTTAACTAATGTTAACTAACATGAAAAAATACTGTAGTAAATGTATTGTTCATTGTTTGTTCATGTTAGTAAATGCATTAAGTAACATTAACTAATGAACCTTATATATATTTATATATATATATATATATATATATATATATATATATATATATATATATATACATATATATATATATATACATACATAATAGTGGTTGAATGGAAGATATTAATAAGTTTGTGAATGTTCTAAGAAATGCAGTTTTTTCAGAGAAATGCACATCTGTTTTCTGCAGTTTAACTATCAATTTTTATTGTTATTTATTTTGTATTGAACTGATAATTTTGAAAGGTTTAACTATCCTGATTTCATCTATTTAAAATACACCACAACTCTCTTTAAGGGCATTATTGCAGTTTTACCCATTGCTGTCTGTTTATTTATTTAATTTATTTGTTCATTTTTTTTTGTTTCTGTTTGTTTGTTCGTTCATCATTCGTTTGTTCATTTGTTTATTCAAATGTATTTTTAGATCTGTCAAAACTTAGTTTGTGATTAGTATCATGCATTTCATTTTAATTTGTACAACAATAAAGGCAATATCCTCAGTATTTAGATTTTTTTAACCTCTAGATTCCATATTTTATATATATGTTGTACTATCATAACAAATTATACATCATTAGTACTCTTATTTCATCAAGGTACAAAGAAGTCAATTATTTTCTTGGATAGTCCCCCTGCAGGAACCTGGTATTAAGCATCTTTCTCAGTGGCACATGGTGACAGAGCAAGACAGGGTCATTGTGAATACATAGCTTGTATACAGGTCTGGAGAGCAAGAGGTATAGTACGTATAGCTGCATATCGTCTTTAAAATGAACGCTACGAGGCTGTATGACTCTGTCGACGGCTTCTGTTACTTTTCGCTCTAATAAGCTGATTGCTTACCTTCGTGTGGATAGCTTTTCTGCTTTTACCAGTTTGCACAGTGGCTTTCTGTGTACGTCAGCGAGTGTAAGACAAAGAGTTGACCGCTATGACAGGGTTTGAGTCCAGCAAAGAAAAGCAGGTAAAACAAAAGGCAAGTAATAAAACAAGCAAGTAAACAACAGGGTGATAACGTGGAAAGATTTGAAAACGTGGTAAAAAGCAGGCAGCCATGACGACTTTTTTAGCATTGCTTTTGAAAACACTGTCGATTGGGTTTAGGGAAGGTGGTGGACAGGTCAATAGGTGGTTTTGAAAACACTATCGTTGGGGTTTAGGAAAGGAAGTGGGTGGGAGGATCAGTCGGAGCAGGTGTGAATAGCACTCCAAGATCTGATATGGTGTACACAGTGGCCTCTGATTGATTCGCGAAAACAAAAACTGCAAAACAGCGTACTTCCTGGGACATATTTTCTGCTCTTCAGAAATGTGTACAGAGTACATATACATGATGAGCCTGGGTTGACAAGATAGCAATATCTCCGTAGTACCGTACACATAGAATAACATCACACACAGAATCAAAAACAACTGCTGCATTAGCAAGCAGTTAAATGTACATCAAATTGGATAAACACAACCCAGGCTCATTGGAAATAAGTGTAGTGAGCTACATTTTTGAGAACTGAGAAATTTTCGACTAAATGTTTCGAGTACATCTTTTTGCAGTTTTTGTTTTCACAAAATCTACTAGAGGCTGGCGTGTACATTTTTGACAACCTCAAATACATTACTGGAACATTTTTCATCAATCTATGAGAGAGAAACCGGTCAGCTTGTCATGCATGATATCAGCTTGATATTGATTAATCCACGTGCCTCCTTCCCTAAACCCAACCGATAGAGATTTCAAAAGTAAACTATAACAGAAAAGCTATTGCAGCTGTGTGCTTTTCTAGAGCTGTCCTTCGCCATACTCGAACCCCAGTCCTGCTCTAGCTCCTTATGCTCAATGAGCTCTGGCTCATTATGAAAACCTACATCTATATTCTTTTCTGGAGAATTATGGAACCAGGGCTACGTATGGCTGCATTTAGTCTTTACAATGAACGATACGGGGTGGTATGATGTCGTTCCTTTTCCTACTCACCAGCTAACCGTATAGACAGCTTTCCTGCTGTTACCAGTTCATCCTGTAGCTCAACAAGTATGTCGGCAGACCTGAGAAAAGAGTTGACTGCAACACCCTGTTGTCAAGTCCAGTGAAGAACAGTTCTAGAAAGCAGGTAAGACAAAAACAAAAGCTAAAAAAAAATAAAATAAAAAAGTAAACAGGGTGAGAATGTGATAAAATCTGAAAACGTGGTTAAAAGCAGGAGGCTTTTCTTTGTCTTGATTGCTTTTTAAATTGCTTTTTAAAATAAGATTAGGTTTAGGGAAGGGGTGGGCGGGTCAATCGGTGCTTCTTAAAATGCTATTGGTTGGGTTTAAGGAAGGGGGTGGGTGGGGGTATTAGTTGGTTGGACATTTAGAAAGTTACGTGAGAACAGCAGGCACGAATGGCACTCGTAGAAGTGAGATCTGAATAAGCGTACACAGCGGCCCCTGGTGGATTCGCAAAAACAAAAAGTGCAAAATATTTTGCTCTCTCCAGAAACGTATATAGGCGTACATAATCAGAATGAGCCTGGTTGCCTAAGTCTGATGCCATACGTTTTGTTTTTTATTCAAATATCATTCTGAAAATTCTCCATACATCTATCACATTTTTTTTTCGCCACAATCTTTCTTTCCCACATAGCATTTTTCATCATTATTAACGCTGTATGTGGTGAGCTACGAAGCAAAATAGTCCCACCAGAAAAAACGTTAATCACGTAACTTTTTTTTTTTTTACATACAAAATACAGCCATTATATAGCCCCCGGCACATACTTCTCAGATCTCAAAAATTTAGCCCTGGGCACATATTCCCAATGATCTTGTGTTGCATAAATGGAAAGCAAAATTACTTCAACGTATTACATGGAGTAGAAAATACACACACACAGACACATGCCCCTACACCCAGAGTTAGAAAATAACATTCATAACATTTAAATACCAACCTGAGATTAAAAATGAGTCATTTGTTCTAAAACTCAATCCTTATAATTCTTTTTTCAATATTTGCTGCGGGCAGAGAGTCGCAGGAAGGCAAGCACACACACACTGGCAAGTGGCTGAACACATTTAGCAGTCTATTACAATTTTCACTATAGACCGGCCTTCCAAATTGAATAATGACTGTTAATACTCTGCATTTTGTAAAACTGTCATGTAAGGAAGCACTGAGTATATTCCAGCAATCTGTCACTCTACCCTTTGTTCGCCAACCGCTAACTGACAGAGATGATTAGCATTCAGCAACACCATTCAATGGGATTTGTATATCTAAATGCTGAGGGGGGAAAAAGAACACGAATTAGTGGAATCAGCAGGATCCGGGGCTGCCCGAAATGGACCTCTGATTGAATTTTTATATTTATTTATTTATTTATTCTTCTTTTTTTGCCTATCAAAGCTTTCCGATTTGTTTTCCCTCACACACCAAAGCTATTATTTCCAGCTTTTTAGCGTATTAAGTAATTGTGCTATCATGGGTCTATTTCCCCCTCTGGGGACTAACATACTGCTGGAGGCAATCTCCAATGCCCATTTCCATACCCAGATAGACTGTCAACAGAAAGTAGAGAGATACAGAGAGGGCGGTGAGCGGATGGAGGGACAAAGAGAGAGAATGAAGAAGAGAGATAAAGAGACCAAGAGAGAGGCAAGAGAGATGATGAGGCCTAGACTGCATTGCACCGTGGGGTCACTAGCTCCGAGTCCATTCATTAAAGGCGAATGAGAATTTTAAACCACATACGGATTCATAATTGCATTTTCTACCGGCAGTCCCGAGTGCTAACGATGAAATTGTTTACCTGTGGGACTACATCTCTTCCTCCCTTTCTCTCTTTCCTAAAATTCTGTCTCTTAGTTCCCATCTCTTACACCTCATACACAAAAACAGCGGCGACGCTTAGGAAAATGCCCTAAAACTGTCACGGAAAGAGGAAAAGAGACACAGAGAAAAGACGAGGAGAGAAAGGGAGGGAAAGAATCTCTAGAAGTATTTCTTCCACACAGACACTCTCTTGTCCTCCTGTCATAAAGGTCTTGTCCTCGGGGGCAAGCAAAGTGCCGTTGAGATGGGATGATTGCTGGGGGAGAAAGAAAGAGCGACTTACTCTCTACGCTGTCTGTCATTGTAACAATTCAGACACGCTCGGAATAATAAAACCCTCCACTTTCTTCCAAATGGACCACCTAAACCTCTTTGCAGTTGTTATTATGCGCTCCATGACCATTAAGCAAAACCTGAACCGGAGGTCGTGCAGAATAACTTTCCCGAGGTTCGTTCTCAAAGACGTTTTCTAGAAAAGTTTCAAGCGCGGTTGCAGGGAATTGGATCGATTTTCTAAATTACTGTCTCCTGTTCATCTCCCTGCTGTTCTAACCTCCTGCTCAGACAGTATGTCAGCTGATACTCAATACACGTCTGACTGAGGGGAAAAAATATATATTCATATTGACAGAGCCATTACGGAGTCCATTAACTGGCACTGAGGGTTGTATTTAATTGGCTTTTTAGAAGGTACAGGTCTGCACGGTGAACCTCGCTGAATCCAGCAACCGATTTAAGGTGAAAGTAGCAGAAATGGGTCTTTTACCACCTGAAATGCTGTATGCGTATATGAATGAGTAAAAAAAAAAAACATTTTCACAATATGAAGCCACATCAACTGTATTCAAAATGAAGAGTAATTAAAGGTGAATGTAGTATTGTTTTTATGTGTTTTTGCTTTTATTTTCCCAGTGCTCTCATACGAATGTTGTTATTTTTTTTTCTCTGTGTGTAATTACAAGCCTTGGAAAGAGTCATACCGGGAGTCATTTTACAATGTGAGCAAATTAAAATTGAACTAATTTCCTAGATCCAAACGACCACTTTGTTATCACGCCATGCCTCCAGCGCTGCCTCATCCTGCTTTGCATCCTTTGATATTGAGAGCTGAACCATTCTGCAGCATGGCTGCCTGTGGATCCTCTGGGGAAAGGTAAATGCTGCAGAATCGTACCGTTCTTGGTATCACTGGTCTTCACTTCACTGATGCAGATCTACTTCTTCCGTTGGCCTAATTAGAGTGGCTGTGGTAAAATGTACTATGATACAGGGCTCTGGTTAGTAGCCTTAATGAGAGTAGTAATATCAGTAGCAATAACACTGAGAACACAAATCTATCTATCTATCTATCTATCTATCTATCTATCTATCTATCTATCTATCTATCTATCTATCTATCTATCTATCTATCTATCTATCTATCTATCTATCTATCTATCTATCTATCTATCTATCTATCTATCTATCTATCTATCTATCTATCTATCTATCTATCTATCATCTATATATCATCTATCTATCTATCTATCTATCTATCTATCTATCTATCTATCTATCTATCTATCTATCTATCTATCTATCTATCTATCTATCTATCTATCTATCTATCTATCTATCTATCTATCTATCTATCTATCTATCTATCTATCTATCTATCTATCTATCTATCTATCGGTCTATATATCAGTCTATATATCGGTATGTCTGTCTGTCTGTTTTTTTGATTGCTGTTTTTATCCAGAAAGGGCATTAAATGTATCAGTTATACTAGAGATGTTTATATTTCTGTTTTAGCTTTGGTATGTGACTCATTCTGAAAATGCAGCCCTATATACTTTTGTGGAGATTATGGAGGGAGTAGTATGGTTGCATTTCATCTTTAAAACAAACGCTACTGGGTGAGATGGTGCCATTCCTTTTTGCATTTACCAGCTGACCGTTTTCCTCTATATGAACAGCTTTTCGGCTGTTACCAGTCTGTCGGGTAGCTTGATATGTACGTCGGCGACAGATCGGAGTTGACCAAAACAAAGGGGTTTGAGTCCGTTAAAGAACATTTCCAGAAAGCAGGTAAGACAAAAACAAATGATGAAAAATAAAATATACAAGTAAATTTGAATTAGTGGTAAAAATCAGGGGGCTTTTCTTGAATTTCTGGATTGCTTTAAAAAAATAAATAAAATTGGCGGTTGGGTTTAGGGAAGTGGGTGGGCGGGTTGATCTGTGTTTTTTAAAACACAATTGGTTAGGTTTAAGGAAAGGGGGTGGGTGGGGTTATTGGTTAGTTGGTGGAATACGTGAGAACAGCAGGTGCGAATGGCACTTGCGAGACATATTTGAGATCTGACAAAGTGTACACAGCGGCCTCATGACAAAAAATGCAAAAAATCGTAACTCCTGGAATGGAAATTGCTCTCTCCAAAAACGTATATAAGGGTACGTAGTCCGAATAAGGCTGGGTTTGGTATATATCTTTGATCAGAATTGAAATTATCAATTATTGTCACTTGTACACATAAATACTGGTATTTTTATTTATTTATTTTTTTTTTTACTTTCAAACATATGAATTAGAGAAATAAACATTACTTCATACTAAATACTGGGAGAATCTAAAAAGGTCATCTGCAACCATGTCAAATTGTGCAAGTGAAAAAAGTGGGGAAAATATACATTTTTTCATCTGTAATACCAGTTCCTAATTGAGGAAATGTAACTATTTGATGTATTGTCATACAAGTATTTGTATTGTCATACAAAATCATACAATTTCATTCATACACAAACTTACAATTTTACAAAAGATGCACACCCCCAAACCCCACATATACAACCAACCTTCATTGGGGGATAAGCAAGTCATACAAAAATGCATGAGAGGTAACACTTTACTTGAAGGGTTGTTCATAAGGCTGTCATGATATTGTCAATGAAATGTTATTCATGCTTGTGACAACCATATTTAAGTATCATTCACTAAGTAATGCTATTTTAAATGCAAAGATGGCATTGACATGACAACTTGACATAAGAAAATATATCACAACATGTCTTTATCTTTGTCATGACGACTTGACATTACCAATATATTAATGCATATACCTAAATTGTTTTAGCTTTTGTTTGTTTTATATTGGTTTATTTACAGTTTTTCTCAGTCGCTTTGGTGCATTTCTCACAACACTAGTGCATTTCTGCATAACAGTTATGCATTTCTTAAAACAATTAGTACAATTTGCAAAACCTAGTTGATAACCTGCAAAAGCATGTCACTTGCTCAAAATGGATAGCTCATTCCTCAAAAGCAAGTATTGTTGTCAATGAAAGTGTCAGTGTCATCAAGATGAAAGATCCTGACACCATTGTTTATGAACAAGACAGTCAAATGGCTTTGTCCTGTTTTCATTATGACAGTTTACTCAAATTTATTTCAATGCAAAAAAGTCAGATTTTGGTGACACTTCCTGAAAATGCTCAATACAGCACTATATACTATTAGCACAGCCAATTGAAAACTACAGTAAAGTTAGACATCAGTGAGGTATCATTTAGTGAGGTATTTGAGTACAAGACACTGAATATGTATGTTTCACATTTTTACTGCCTTTGCTCTTTACAACTCTAATTTATTCACAGCATTGTGCAAAAGAATAAATACACCCTTATTTACAACAAACATAAACTCCCTTTGGTAGAGCTGTGCACTACTGTAAACAATATTGCAGAACATATTGGAACTGAATCTACAACATACAGAGGTCTGTAAATCATTTATGAAATTGTTCAATTTTTAAAACATTTTCAGGAAAATAAAGATTTAAAACATTTTTATAAAATTAGCTTGACAGATTTTGACAACTAGTTCAACACTTTTGTATGAAATGACTCAAGTAATGAAATGAGGACTATTAGTTTTATATTGAGTGACTATTCAGCATTCACACAAGTTTAGTTAATTTTGACTGACATGACATAAGCAAATGATAATGTTATAAAACAGCAGAGAATTGTATGAAAGCAATTGATGCATGTCAAAGCATTTGCAATTTGTTGAAAGGAATGAGAAACTGCTACTATGATGTGCACAAATGACTAATTGTTTTGAGAAATGCATTAACTATTGTGCAAATGTAAATAGTGTTGAGAGAAATGCACCAAAGCGACTGAGAAAAACAGTATTTAATGTTTTTTTTATGATTATTATTATTATCTCCAATATTTGTAATTCTTTAAATGATTTCAATATAGCTTAGGCTATTTTATCTGGATCTATGACATTGTGTTGAGCCTACAAAAATGGATACGTAATATTAATTCTGGTGCTGTCAAAATTAGTGCATTAACGCATGCGATTAATTTGAAATATTTAATGAGTTAAAAAAAATTAACGCAGTTGCAGTTTTTTTTTTTTTTTTTTGCTTCCTGTTGTGGTGGACGTGTTCAACATGCAAAGAAATAAGGATAAGACCAAGAAAGCACTTTTTGAAGGCAAGTTTCAGTATAAAACAATTAATGTTGCATCACCGGGCTATCCAGAGCGATCATGTTTGTTGAATCTGAAGGGAGTCGCTCCGGCGCGTTGTGTGTGTCTGTCTGTGTTTGTGTCTGTGTCAGGGGTTGAGTGAGCGACGTATCTGAGTAGGGGCGTGTGCGCGCGAGACGTACCTAAAGAGCAGTGGGGGTGAGTTGCGCACAACGTACCTGAAGAGCGGTGGGGGTGAGTTGCGCGCGACATACCTAAAGAGCTAGGAGGGATGCAGTGGAGAGGGGTGTGCAACGTACTGAAGGACCGAGCGGGAGACGCGATTTTCGGGAGATTATCATTTATTTGCTGGCATCCGGGAGTCACTGTGCATTTGCGGGATACTCCTGCAACTTCCGGGAGTATTGGGATGTCTTCACTGGACTGTCTTAGCAACTGTCTGAATGTAAAGGAGGACTGAGCAAAATTGTTTCTACTTTATATTAATGTTCTCAACTCACAGCAATACAACTTTACAATGAGTGCAATTTGTATTTAATACTTTATTATTATTATTATTATTATTATTATTATTATTATTATTATTATTATTATTATTATTATTATTATTATTATTATTATTATTATTATTATTTTCCATAACTGCAATGCCTGTATTTTGGCTTTTTTTTTTTTTTTTTTTTGCAGTCCACCTAAAATCCAACTTGGAAATCATTTTTTTTTTCTTTATTGCTATTGATTGTTTTGAAATTCAAATAGCACTTACATGCCTGTGTTTTTATTTCTGTAATGAATATGGCTGTCAGCCCAGGATCTTGATGGTTATTGTGGGTATGTTGTTTACAAGAAGAAACCTGTTTTACGAGTTAAACAAAAATTCTAATAAACAACTATATTTTGAATTTAAATAGTTTTTGTCTTGCGTTTACATTAATTTTACATTTCATTAGCCAAAATTACAAGTTTCAGTCTTTTACATGCGATTAATCACAATCAATTTTCAAAAAAAGTGTGATTAATTAGTTATTTTTTTATCGATTGACAGCACTAATGAATTCATTATTTCTAAAAGAAAGAAAGAAAGATAGAAAGAGTGGTTCATGAACAAACACACACAAATACATACATCTTTTAAATATGACAAAAACTCTCGATGACTGAAAGTTACTGGATGCTGTGTCTTTAATGTGGTGTAAAGATTATTATGAATTATTAAAACATCAAGGAGAATGCAGCAAAAAAAAAAAAAAAAAAAAACGTATTAAATTAAAACTCATTTATTATTTTACACCCTTAATTTAAAAAGGAAAAAAACACGGTGATCTTAAGGAAAAAAAGACCCCTAGCCTATAAGCTGTTTTATGGAATATCTTAAACTTGTTTTTTTACTTATAATTATTTATTACAAAGATGAAACTTGGGACCCTAGTCGGCTAACAATGGTTTTCGGAAATGGGCAGGTTGTTTGATTTGAGTGGCGTTCACTCGCACTGGCCCAGGAATGAAAAATCAGTTGTTCCTTTCGCCACCTGTTTTTTTTTTTAATGAAAAGGTGGCCTTTGCTGCTGCAAAAATGCTGCTAAATCTGTCCTAAACATGAGGCATTACAGCATAAATATTGTTCTGTTTAGTATTTCAGTGGAACAAACTGAATTAGTCATTAAAATGTTTCCTTAAAAGTGTCATTTTGCATTTGAATAAATTT